CTATGAGACCGCACCAGCGGAAGCACTCGGCGGCATTGCCTGCTGGTTGCAGGGTGAACTTGCTCTTGAGTAGCACGCTACGTGAGTCGGCGTAGGAGAGCGGTGTGGCAGAGCCGATGTAAATGCCTTGCGGTGCATGCGGTCCGGAGGAGCACTCCATCTGCACCGCGCCTGCCATGGAGCGGCTGCTGTCGTGCGCGACCCACTTGGTGGTCTCGTAGACAAAGCCACAAGAGCCCTTCAGCCAGGCCCTGGCGTAGTTGAACCAAATCTGCCGGCCTGAGCGCGTCTTCGAGGCAACGAGGTTGAACACAAAGGGGCGCTCCGAGGCCGGCGTGGCGAGGGCTTCGGCGCGCGACACGCTCTTCATGTTCGAATTCATGAATAGCGGCAGGAATACCGGCGCGTTCGGCCCGTTGAGGTCATCCGCCGCCCCCGGGTACATCAGCAGCGTTGAGTTTGAGCGATCCGACGCCTGGAATGGCTCCACGCCTTTGCGACCACAGTTCTCGTCCGAAAAGACCTGGGGGGGGGGGGGGGGTCCAGCGACCTGAGGCCCGAAGGGTCCCAAAAAACCCGGGGGGGGGGGGGGGGGCCAACCACCTGGGGCCCCAAGGGAGGGGATGGGAACCCAAACCCCATGAACCCCTCCCCCCCCGGGTTTTTGGCCCAGGGTCCCCCATGGGCCCCCAGGGGCCCTTTAAACAACGGGGAAATTTGGAACCCTTGGACCACTTAAAAAAGGGGCCCCCTAAATGGGGCCCCAAAACCCCCCCCGGGGGTTTTCCCCAAGGAGGGCCAAAGGTTTCTCCTTTGGGGACCCGGGTCAGCATTCCTTTTAAACCCCCCGGAGTTTCCAAAAAAAACCCCCCAAAACCAACCCTGGGGGGGACCTTGACCACTGCCGACCCCCCCCAAATCCAACCGGGATCCAAAACCCCCCCCGCCCTGGGCCTTTCATTTATGAAAAAAGAAAAACCCGGATTTTGGGGCCCCCATACTTGCGCAACCTTGGGAGGGGGGGAAAAAGGCTCCCCCCCCTCCCAAAAGGGGGGG